AAACCATACACTTTGATGTGTATTACTGTATACTGTAGTCGACTGTAATATACAATAGACACTCAGATTCTGTGCCCAAACACTGCAACACTCAATGAATATGTAATCATACAATACAACTGTTTTTCCACACAATATGTTTCCACTAACTCTGGGCTTATATTTTATTAAAACCCGATTCCTATGTCTGGTCATTGCATTGCAAATCAATGAATTTATATATGAATTAGAATTTGAGAGCAATTTATTAATATTAATGTATTTATCATTTCCTTTATAATCGTTATAATAAATGTTTTGTGTTTTCACAATCAAATAGGTCGTCCTTTCCCTCTCATAATCATATGTTCAATGAATGCAAATTATAGTCATTATTATAAATTTACATATTTTCGCATTTTTTATATTAGTTTTTAATTGGAATTTATAGCAAAAGATAATGTTCTTTGTTATTTACTTTGGCATTAAATTTAAATATTAAATAAATTTTAATTATTTATAAAAATTTAAGATAAAGTTAATTCAAAGCTTAAATAAATTTTGGAAGTAAGACTATAAATATGAAATTATTATTTTATGTATAATCTTATGTTTTACTAATGTTAGAAATACATATGTATTTATGTATATTTATGTTATGTATTTATACAGAGTATTATAAACTTATAATTTTAATTTGAGGAAATTGTTTTACTTCTGAGAATTTAGTTTATTGTTATGGTATAAACAATTTTATTGCAAATAACCATACATTCAAAATATGTTATTGCCATCAAATTAGAGCAAATTATTCAAATAACTCAATTTAACTCTACTTTTATTGAAACATTTGTGTTAGTTTTGTACGGAAATATCTATAAACTACATTTTAATCAAATTTATATATTTATTTTCAATAACGTACTGCTTTGAAATGTATATTATTTATATTTATAAATTAATAATAAAATTAGAAATATTTATCAAACAACAATTTTTCTTAATTTTTAATAACATAAATATAACTTATATTATACAAGTATAACTGATATGGGAACATTGTACTGTATATAGCTATTATTCTGTAAAGTAATTAGCAAGTCGGAAATGAATCACTTTCGTAACCAAGAGATTCGTAATTTTTATTATTACTTATATTAAAAGCGTATAAAATAAATACAATTATAGAGCAATATTGTATACATTTATAAAAACATTTTTCTTGACAATAATTAGTCGTTCAAAAGTTGTTTCAAATGTCAGTCGTTGTGACAAATAAGTGAAAAGAAAAATTACAGTAAAAGAGTTTAGTGTCCAAAATGGTTGCCCGAAGTTTTCACAGGAGTACTCAAAGTCTGGGTCACTATTCATCGAGTTTGAGCCGATATGCGCCCAAAAGTACAGAATTCAAAGTGATCAAGTACACTTTAGTCGTGTTCATGATATTGAATATATTCAGCTCTATTTGGGTCTGTATTTACATCGGATGGCAGACCGACTTTGAGATGGGAGGCACGGCTAATGAGCCGTCGGCCAAATCTGCGGTCAACTCCTGGTATATCTTTAGTTCAAAACTCTTAGTTCATGTTTCAATACAATGATTATACAGAATATTCTTATTATTCCTCCTCAGGTACATCTGTTCCATGTTTTTCGTCATATTTGCCGATTTGGTGGACATTATACTGTTGTTTGGCGTTTGGGCCGACAAAAAGCCCTGGGTTATAGCACTCTGTGTCTTGTCATTCATTTTCTCGATTTACGGCATTTCCAGTGTCTATTTGCGAGGAAGCATAACGTGTTTTGTCATACCTTTCTGTATATTCACGCTATCGGTGCTCATGATATGGCTCATTAGGCACGAGGAGGCCCAGTATGACGTGCAACGAGGACCAGGACTCAGGACTGCCGTCAAAAGGTTTTAAGGTTTTCCAATAGTTTTTTAAATCAATGTCCAATTATTGAATTAATCAATGTTTGATTTCTAGTCAAAGTTAAGGCAACGGTTACTTCAATTACATCAGCAAGTTTATTTAAGTGGAAAATGTTTTCGTGCCAAATGTCATTATCGATTAACAAATAATTGAATATAAATTGTTTTTATTATTTGTTCATATGATAAACATATCATGCAACGAGTTTTAATAGTTTTTTATATAAATCTATTATCGGTAATCTATAATCTATTATATATTTTATTTATATATTTATATTAAAAATAAACATTTAGAATTTAATTAATTTATAATATTAGTTCATTCAATTTTATTTTGTATAAAATAATTGTAATCTCCTTAAATGTCAATAAAATAATATTCATCTAAAAACTTTAATAAAGTAAAATAATTTATCATAAAATAAAATATAAAGTAAATATTAATTAAGTGTCAAAATTCTAAAACAAATACAATAGAAAGAAAACTCTATTGTTTAATATTTCATGAAACAAATATAAACTATTATTTTTCACTACATTAACTCTTCAGACAATAAAACGATTGTATCTCTTATTCGCTCGGATTTAAGCCAAAGAATATATGAGAATAAAAAGCTGAAGAAAATCATTACAATATTAATGATAATAACGACGAGTGACTGATGAATGTGTTGAGCGAATGTCAATATAAATGACAATATTTTCAGTACCGATAAAACCATAGACAATGTGTAGTTTGTAGACAGCGCTCCGATTATACCCACGAATGTAATGATCGCCGAAAATATTACAAGAATTATGAATAAGGCTTTAACTCTAACACAATTGAGTTGATATTGACGGCAAAACTTATCAAATTCAAGCAACACGTCCGGTGTATTGGATACACTGGTGATGATATAGACAATACTAAAGCAAATCAATAAATATTTAATTCCGTAAAACACTTTCGAGTAAAACATTTTGTCTTGTTATTAGCAAGTACAG